AAAAATGTCATGAATTTTTGTACTCCCCTTACAGAATTCTCATGTTGGGGTCTGGTATGGAGCCTGGAAGTCTGCACATCACAGGTGAAAGTGAGAAACTGAACTCGACTTCCTTAATAGAAAAAATTGACATCTCTCCCCCTAACTATCAACCACTTATATCCAAAATACTACATCTGTAAAGCAGCAAAACATTGCAAAAAATCTTTAAGATCAAGGAACAAAGCTTCTGAATTGGTTGGTATGAGGAGCAACCAGGTTGTGGCACCGCCTGCAGCAGGTGCACACATCACATCGTGATAGAAGGCCCTCTTCTGACTTAGTGGGTGACTGGGTACCTCCTCGATTAGGTGCAGTGTGTGGCAAGCTACTTTCGTCTTTTACATGTCTGGAGAGAGGTGATGCAGTTTAGTGACACGGCTTCTAGTCCTGGTGAATCATTGAGTTCTCCCCTTTTCTTCTGGCCGGTGGATAACTGAATACCTGTCCTTTCTGGCATTTGGTAAGGATTATTTGCAGCTGGAATCTGAGAGGATCCACATCCTGTCCATTGATGGATGATCTTCAAGGCTGTCAGGGCAGTCATTGAAGGACCTGCTGCAGCCTCTGTGGTGGGTCTATACCACTGGCCGCATACTGATGTTCACTTCATGTCAGCAGAGCACTTGGCTCTGATTGTGTGTATTTTTTCTTCACATACTACTGAGGCAGTATGAAGGGGGTCATTTACAGTTTAAAGCCCTGCCAAGGGAACATGTGCCCCCAGTCCACCCTGAGAGGGATAATCATATGTTCTCTCTTGGGTAGTGTTGTGTAAATCACACAAATTTTTATCATTTCAAAAAACCCTTCATGTAACCTCCTTAGCATACGATTACATACATATTAACATTCATTATACTCAGTCCCAGCTTTAGTTTTTCTCCTTAGGCTATTTTGCTGGCCATTTTGGTTCCTTTACATATGATGGCCCATCTCAGCAGATAGAATATTACTTCTATTAGTTTTAAATCTAGAGGTTTTACATATATGTGTGTATATATATATATATATATATATGTATATATGTGTAGAGAGAGACGGCGAAGTACATTACTGTAGCACCCTACCGCCTCCCCACATATTGGCCATGCCTTTGGAGGTAAGAAGTGGGCCTAAATTGATGAGGTTTGAGGTAGTTGCAAGCTGCATTAGTGAGAAGGGGTCAGGGAATCGGCACAGGCCTCTGGGGGGAGCAAAGACTCATCTGAGTGTCTGCCAGGTGTGATGGCCAGGGCTTTTTATGTGTGCTGTGCACTTACTATAGTCTGCATCGGATTCTACAGTGATCTTAGGAAGCTTGTAGAAGATAAGCAACTTTCCCAAGGAAATATATCAAAGAAGCAGTAGCGGAAGAATGAGAGCCCAAGGCTGCCTGAATCCCAGATTCATTTCTTCCAGTGCATTGCCTTGTTTCTTAGGGAGGACGGAGGCAGAATCAGTTACCTGATTACAATTTCAATTTAAACTGGACCTAATTTTGGAATACCTGATATGTATTTATACTAATGCCTTTGCTTGGTCTGTTATGCGGCACAAAAATAATTGGTTAGTTATTAGGTCCTGATTCTATACTCCTTCAGTAAGGGAAACTGATGTTCTATATAAAGCAAATACTGAGTGAATTCACCATTCTCAGCCTTAGTGCCACTGTCAAACTGCTAAGTCTTTAAGAATACACTTCCAGTCGTGAGTTCAGGTATAGAGGAGAAAGAAGGAAGACACCAGCTATTATATAAACATCTGAAGAGGTTTTTTTAATAGAGCAGTGGATTTTCTTGTTCTACAAATATCTTGTGTTACCATAGTACTCAAAAGGCCCTCCCTTCCCCCACATCTCACCTAATATATTCCCAACACAGTACTGCTTAATTAACCCTCTTGAAAAGAGGGAAAGCTGGGCGACTCTTGTGATATTTTCTCTGATTCTGTCAGCAGGAAACGTGCTTTAGTAAGTTGGAAGTGCCATATTTTACAGTGTATAATAGGCACCCATGTTTTGGCCCAAACTTTCAGGAAAAAAATATTTTGTTTTAATTTTTTAATTCAATTTTTATTTATTTATATTTAGATACCTGTTTTTTGTATTATAAAGGAATTTTAACATTTATGTTTTGAACATGGTACAAAAAGTTTTATGTAACAAATAATTAGAAAACACAAGAACAGATACGAGGTATTTCAGGTACTACCCATGTATAATGCACATCTTGTTTTTCCCTCAAAAATTTGGGTAAAAAGTGCACATTGTACATGGCAAAAATAATGGTAGTCCCACTACACAAAGAATAACAGATATGTGTTTGCAGATTTGAGGGCTGACTGGGTGTTAAGGAGATGGTCTCTGAGTCTCTTACATGAAAAGTACTGGAAAGTTACTTAGTACTCCCTCTTCTTAAGATCTACCCTTTCTTCTTGGATTCAAGGAGATCATGATTTAGTTTCATGATTGCAGTGCCAGTGATAGGTGCTCATGGGGATTGCTAGATATTGTGCTGTGATGATAGAAAATTCATTTCTGTCATCGTTTGAGAGAAACAAAGTTGAGTCATAATTTATTACCAGGGTTGGGCTTGATCATGTTCCATGTACTCAGTGTCCTCAACCATAAATCTGTGAAGTGGGCACAGACAGGAGCCAGAGGCAAACTGAGCTGTGCTCTGCCCTGGTCCCAGGTTCCGTGTGGAGGAGATGAGGGGCGGATCCAGTCTGGCTAGCCTGTGCTCTGGACTGCCGTCCTTTAGTTGTACAGTCCTGCCCATGCCCAGGACACAAAGTAGAGCTTAGTGTTCTTTGTAGTGATACTTAAAATAGTACTGTAGTTACAATGCTAAAAAAAGGGCTGAGGTTACAGAGCCTATAACACACATAGGTAGATATTTTAATGAGCGATTCAGACACTCTCAAATGACAGGTAGTAAAAGATATGGGAACCCATATAACTTTCATAAATTATGACATTCCTGGAACAGAGTTGGACTCCCCTCTGCAGGCCTCTGAGATGGAGCTTCTGTGGATATCAAATGGTTTCCTCATTATTTAGTACAGTATGTAGACAGGGCAGTATTTTCTTTTAGGATCATGGGTGACCCAATGTGAATGCATAAACAGTGCTAGACTATTCTCCCTGGCTCCATGGGGATCGTAGACAAAGTGTGATAATGGGGTTCTCTGAGGCCTCAGGTGAGGTGTCACTTCCAGGCTGTTGAGGCTAGGCATGCTGGGAAAGCACACATGGAGTGATAGCTAAGAGGTGGCTGGAAGGGCAAGAAGGCAGAGTTCCCTGCTACCTTGATCATGTGCCTTCTCCCTGCCTGCCTCAGAAGCACACGGCTTGAGATGGCCTCAACTGCAGATGGTGCTCACACTCTCAAGGCAGCACTGCGGTAAAGTACCTCATGGGGAGGTTGGGTTTGGCAGTATATGCAGGGAGGTGAGAACTGGAATGAGGTGCCTCGCCTGTGGATTGTATTGTCCTGGGTTCCTGTGTATTAAATTGTTGCATGCATCCTGCTTTGGAACTGCTGGGCCATTGCTGGACTCTATCCCATCCTGACCACATGTAATGGAGACTTTATTTTATTTCCTTTTATAAAGATTTTATCTGTTAATTTTTTAGAGAGAGGGAAAGGGAAGGAGAAATGGAGAGAAACATCGATGTGCGAGAGAAACATCGATGTGCGAGAGAAACATCGATCAGTTGCCTCTCACACACCCTGAACCAAACCAGGGACCTGGCCCGCAACCCAGCCATGTGCCCTGACTGGGAATTGACCCAGTAACTTTTGGTTTGTGGGACAACACCCAACCCAGTGAGCCACACCAGTCAGGGCTAGAGACGTAATTTTAATAATACAGTGTCACTTTCACAGGGTTGTTTTTTCACTGAGTTGTAACTTGAGTTTTGGAACTTGAGTTCCTGTGCAAACTTCCTAGAGAAAAAGGGAGAGCGTTTCTCTGTTCCTTGGGTTTCAAGTTCTAAAGTTCATAACACTCTATCGTGGGACCACAAGAGAGGCAGGCTCTTGGAAAACATGGAGGCATTTGTTCTGTTTTACATTTGTTGTAGGTCTACTTTTCATAAAGTCCTCAAATAAATAGTGCTTAGGATATCTGGGTAGCTCTTTGTTACTCAGCTGGGAAGTGACTATCAGAACATTCATAACAAACAGTGAATGGAGAGAAGCAAGACTGACAATAATTAGATCCAATAAACCTCATTTAGTGAGGGGAGAATGACATCAAATTTGAAATACCTAGTGATATAAGTAGATAACAAGTTTGTAGGTTCTAGGTCAGGAATTTAAATATAGCTGTGAAAAAGCCTTAGCTTGCATGCCCACTTGTCGTCGTCTCTTCCTCTTCCTCCCTCCAACTCCCTTTCTCCTCCCTTCCAACCAAAACCTTTTTGTACACTCCCTTTATTCTGGGTAATTATTTTCCAGCCTTTCTGCACTGGGACTACAAGGAAGCTTCAAAGAAGACTCTCAGTATAACTGTTGTAAAATCAAGTAATGGGTATTGGGAACTCCAGTAGGGAAAAATGACTATTATTCATTGTTCATTTTTGACAACAGACATCTAGAGGTGTTTTTTTGTTTGTGTGTGTGTGGGATTTTTTTTTTCCTCATTTCCTTCATGTGGAATTAGGAAAGAAAGAGTGCTCAACCTGATGTATAGAAGAAAACTTTTTAAGTTGCTTGGGTTGAGAGGTGTAATGATAGGTAAATTAAACCCTGGGAAGAAAGAGGAAATTTATCAAAACTCATTTGTTTTAAATGTTTTGTTTATCAAGTATGGTTCATTGGTATTACCGATCATATTGTTCTGTTGAAAAACTCAGACTATTTTATCTTCATTTTGGGGGGAAAATATAGAAGAAATGATTTGTTGACGCTTCAACCATTCTGTCCCAATGATTGTACAAAACAGTGGTGCCAATTATCTTTTCTGTTTTTCAGGGCCGACATGTTAAAACAGGTCAGCTGGCAGCCATCAAAGTCATGGATGTTACTGAGGTAAGATTGGGTAACAAATGTATTTAAAGAAATCTTTAGATACAAGGACTCCTGCCCAACCCTCCACCTTTCCCTCTAGGCCCAGTGTAAGAGTATTAATTCTTGTTTGGAGGATGGATCTTAAACAAATTGCCTTCCTGTGATATTGTGGGTTTATAAGGTCCAGCATAATAGTCAGCTTAAATTGTTGGCAGATGGTCTCTAAGTAACTAACAATCAGTAGCGTTTTCTAAACACACACACACACACACACACACACACACACACACACACACACACACCCCCCCGCCACACCCTCACACCCCCCCCCATATCACATCTGAGTGATGTCATCCTTGGCAACATTACGGACCATAATTGGAAACATCTCTAGTGGAAAGGAAGAGATTTGGGAAAGGATCATGGAGGTCATATAAATAGGGGGGTTAAGGGGTGTGGGGTAGGGAAAAGCTTCTCTAGGGATTAGACCACATTTGGGCCATTTCTTTTATTTTTAACATGGGGATAGAAAACAGATCCAGCCAAGTTCCCAGAGGTTTGAAAACAGAAACATCTGCTAGAATACTGAGCAGATTGTTGGCAAAATTTAGTAGCAAAAAATAGTTCTTAAAATGGTCACGTGAGTATTTACTGGGTAGCTTTTGGGAAAGAAGAGAAATTAGACAAAATGTACTGTATTTTGCCATATATAATGCGCACCTATGTTCTTGTGTGCATTATACATGGGATTATTATACCCATAGTATATAATCTTCATACTCGTGTATAATGCACATCCTTATTTTTCCCTCAAAAATTTTGGCAAAACAGTGAGCATTACACATGGCAAAATACTGTAAGTGTCTATTTCCCTTTGCATGTTTATGTATATATGTTCATGTTTCATTTTTTAAATAACGATAAATTATAGTGCATTAAATCCATCATATTTTAAATTACAGTTGACACTTGAACAGCATGGGTTTGAACTGTGTTTCACTTAACATGCAGATTTTTTCAATAAATACTGTAAATGTATTTTCTTAATATTTTATTTTCTGTAGCTTAATTGTAAGAATACAGTATATAGTACATGTAAAATACAAATATGTGTTAATTTACTCTGCTATTGGTAAGGCTTCTGGTCAACAGTAGGCGACCAGTAGTTAAGTTTTGGGGAGTCAAAGATATAAGTGTTTTTCAGTGGTTGGTGCCCCTAACCCCCACGTTATTCAAGGGTCATCTGTATTTTCATCAGAAATTTTACTTTACACTCTCATGATTGCTTCTAATTTGCTTAATTGTGAATAAGTTTTACCATCTTATATCACATATCTAGAGAGAGTTAACCAGCAACCTTGGGTATTTGGGATATCTTTAAAACATAATGTCCCCAAATCTGGGGTTTGTCACTGGAGACGATGCCTGAGTTGATCTCATGAGTATAGTTGAGTAATCAAGAGAGGTTTCCTCCACTGCCTTGTTCTCCCGTTGGTCTCTAATAATGTGCTCAGCTCCAATATGCATATTTCCTAGTAAGAATTAGAAAATATTGTTGTCTCTGGACCACAAGACAACCAGTTGAGCTTTATACAGATAATTGAGGGTGTGACATTTAATGAAGTGACTACTCTCTTTTCTCTGCCAAAGAGGATATGGAGAGTTTATAATGAAAAATTGCCATTGCTTGGTTCTTGTAAAGATTCTTGTAACACAATCTGATACGAGCTGTGGCTCAGTAGCTTAGATGGTTAGAACATAGTTCAGATACATCATGGTTGCAGGTTTGATCCCTAGTCAGGGCACATACAAGGATCAACCAATGAATACATAAATAAGTGGAACAACAAATCAATATCTCTCTCTCTCTCTCTTTGTCTCTCTTTCTCTCTCCCTGCCCCCTCCCTCTCTTCCCCTCTCTCTCTCTAAAATCAGTAAATAATAATAAAAATCATACTATGGACTATTGTGTTGTGTTATAGTATACAACTTAGTGGGAAATTGGGTGCTTTCCAGTTAAAGATTATTTTAAAGAGTGGTGAAGAAGCAGCAATTTCTAAGTTACTGTGATTTAAATACAGAAGTTGAGTTATTTATGACATGCTTCTTCCTACTGAGCTCCTGCTGTGCATGTTGCTGGTGCTGAATGGGGAATGGGGGAGCTGGAGCCTTGTGTTCTTTGTCATCTGTGAGCACATTTCCTGACTGGTTACTGGCAGATGTATGGGTGCCATTGTAATTGTAATCTTCTGGAATTTTATGGAGCGTTTGGAAGTCCTGAGAGTTGAGTTTCTTTCCTCACTCAGTCCATGCTCCGCTAGCTGACTTTGCTGCTGTGCCGGTCTGGGCATGCTCCCTGTTCTATCTCAAGTGGACTCTGAGTGAGGCTTGTCTACTCTGTAGAGGGCCTCTTCTTCTAGGCCTGGCCGTGATTGTAAGTGTAATAAATGATCACTGTTTTTAAAAAAGTGTAAAACATAAGAAAACATTTTTAAAAAGCTAAATTCTTACACTTTTGCCACCTTCCAATACCCATTGTTGGTGCTTTGGTATATTTCCTTTCACTCATCTCTCTGTGCATGGAGCTGTAAAATGCACAGACAACTGTGTGTAACACATGCTTTTGTAGCCTGCTTTTGTTAAATTGTGTACAAAAGGTATTTCCTTGCTTGAAAAATAGGCAGTGTTGGAAAAATGCATTTTCAGGACTCCTTTAAAAATTAATTATGCAAAACCCACATGTTCAGGTGAAATGAAAACCAGATGGCAAATTTTCAGAACAAATGCAAATTCAATCAGCCGTTTACCACCTTGGCTTCTTAGTGATATTTCCTGTGTGCTTTTCTATGCAGTGACCTCTGTGCTAGAGCAAGGGGCACAAGTATGGACAGAGGACATTGTACAGGCAGCACCCCAGGAAACATGCCCTTGCCGATGCCCCACGTCAAGAGCCTCTCAGCAGCTGTTGTAAAGGTGTAGTGCATTGGCCTGGGTAGGACCTGGGAGCAGGCTAGCATGAGGAAGACTTTGCAACTGATGTTTCCAGTTTCCACTCCAACAGAAGGCACTGTTGGAGGGGGTTCTCTTGATGAGACCAGGACTGCATAGCATAGTTTTTGACTGCTCATTTTTGTCTCAAGAGCAAAAAGATGTGAATGCTTATTTTGGGGAAAAAATCACAGACTCATCCTGCTTCTTGAGCCTTCCTGAGGTGAAATCAAGAGGTATCTACTAGTCTATTCGTTATTACTCAGTCTCAGAAGGCCAGAAAGCAGCATGTGGGAAGGGGAGCATGTGGCTGATGCCCTTTCAGCTGTCAGCCCTGGCAGTCCTGAATAGGTATGCTCGAGGGCAGCTTAGCTGAGTCCACTGCACCTCCTTTACTCAATCATGTGGCCTGGAAACCAGTTACAGTGGAGAATTCACATTTCACCTGGGGTGAGGTGGTAGGGGCTGTGTAGGAAACTAGGGAGTCTGAAAGAGATGGGGGAAGATTTCTTCCTATTCTCATATTTTAACTGTTTTAAGAATTGATTATCTTTAAGGATCTCGAAGGGCTCTTTTTAAAGAAAGCATGTCATTTATATGATTGGTTATGGGAAGGATTTAAGGAGCAGGTTAATGATATATTCAAACTGGAAAAGACCAGGTTATGTGATCTATAATGTGTTGTTTTATTTTTGAAGTAATTATAGAGTCACGGGAGTTTGCAGAAAAGTATACAGGGAGGTCCCATGTGTACTGCACCCAGTTTTCACCAGTGGTATAACTGTGATACAATATCATAATTAAAGTCCATGCACAAAACAAGGCAAGACAAATGATTGGTTTTATAAGCTAAGGATTTGTAACAAATGGGACTGCACCATTGCTCTGTGCCTGCCTTGAGGCAGGCTACTGGAAATTGGCATTCATTCAACCACCAGGTTTTCCCAGCTTGAGTGTGCATTCATTTGTGTGTGCTCTTTTGAGAGATACTTGAATTGGTTGTTTGAATCTTGGTAACCCCTTCATTTCAGTCCTTGTGTGTTAATGTCAACTTGTATTATTGCTGTTACACATCAGGGACTGAGAGTTTAATTCTTGAAGTTTTAGGGACTCCTATTATTTTGAGATAACATTCTGGAAGGGAAGAAGATGAATTAGCTAGATGAGTAATTTTTAATTTGGGATCCATACACTCTTTGAATAAGGTTTATCTCTGAGAATTAAATTTTATGTCTTCATTTTAATAATTCCCCCAAACTTTTTATTATGAAAATGTTCTTCATTACAGAACTGTTGAAAGAATGAATACTCTCTACTCTTAGATTCAACAGTTATTAATGTTTTGTATACATATTGTGACACCACCATAGGCCTTCACTTACAAATACTTGAATATGCTTCTCTTAAAATAAAGTCAGTCTTCTATGTAATCACAACACTACATAAGAGAATAATTCGAGAATTTCACCTAATGTTTATTGTATATTCAGATATCCTCAGTTGTGTTAAGAATGTTTTTGTAACCATTTTTTCAAGTCATAGTCCAGTTAAGGTTTGTGCATTGCATATCTTAGCTATTAACTCAATTTTAATTTAGATCCTCTGTGCCCACCTCCCTTCCCCTTCCACCTTTTTTTTTTTTTTTAAAGAAATTGACTTTTAGAAGAGTCCAACCAATTATTTCATAAAATATTCCATATTCTGGATTTGTCTGATAGTTCCCTCATGTTGTGTTTTAACCTGTCCCTCTTACCTGTATTTCATGTAACCTGGAAATTAGGTTGAGTGAGTCAGATTAAATATTTTTTAGGCAAGAACATCTCATTGGTGGTATTAGGTATTTCATATTTCATCACATCAGGGGGTGTATTTATTCTAGTTGTCTCACTATTACCAAGTTTGAAGCCAAGTTTGAGAACTCAATTAGAGAGGTGATGGGCAGGCATCTCCATTGAAAAAGGTGAATATTACTTTTGAATTTAGTAAATAATCTCCAGGATGATACTATGACACCAAGTGAATATTCTGTTCAC